AAAACATCATCGTCCACCCGTCCATTCATTTAACATTGATATTGCAAGTGCTTCCTTTCAATCGACTCAGTCTTGAGTGGGCTCGACAACATCTACATAATTGGTAGGATCTATAGGCTCTTATGTTTCGGATTCATTCATTCCATCCTCACATTCCCCAGGTCCACATTCATACTTCAACGAATGAAATTTTGGAAAAGACAACATGCATGTTCGAGTAACTTTGTTTTGCGTGACTATATTAAAGAAAGTTTTGCTTCTTAGGACGGTCCACCGCATCTTAAAAACTCCAAAAGCCCTCTCAATGAGATTTCTTGTTAGAGTGTGCCTTAAGTTAAACAATTTCGTATGATTTCTAGGTGCTGATTACCTTCACCAAACTCATCTAAATAATATCTCACCCCTCGGTAAGGAGCGAGAAAACCCAGTCCATTGGTGTACCCACCGTCGCACAAGTAATAACACTCTGGAATGTATATAACAAAAAGCAAGAAATTATTTAGGGAAAATAATTTATTGAGATTTCTGAAAGAGTTCATACTAAAGTCTATACTACACATAGGAACTCGTAAACTATTATCTCGGTATACTGCATCTTTTAATACTCGACTATCTGCAGCTGAACCTTTCCGACCGGTCAATATGTATAAAAAATTTATTTCTCGATTACATACACCTAGCATATTGACGGAGATAGACCCTTTTTTATTACGGTATCTAGGGTGCAATCGTCCATGAACACGAACAGGTGTATATGCTCCATCCATGCTCACAAGCACCCCTAATCATTATTCGCAAAAACAATAAGTAAAAAATCAAAAAGAAGAAAGCGTGTATGTAGTAATTAATGAATAATCTTAATTTAAAAGTTTAAATGAGGTCATCTTAAAACATTTCCACCGCCAGCATGTGTTGCCATCTTCGATAGGAACTGGTTGAGCAACGAGTAAAATGTGCAAATGTAGTACGACATCCAAAACATGATGAAATAATTTTGCTAATGGTTTGACCCGACCTTTAAATCAAACTTAACCACAACAATTTTTTTACAATGTGCTAAGATACTAGTTATATTTTGCGTTATTATTTTTTTTATACAACAAACTAGTTATATTTAAACTTTGATATGATTTTTTTAAAAGAAAAACTTCCAACATTCATAAATATTTAACCATAATAAAGATATTATTTTAAAATCAACTAATTTAGAAATAACTCATAATTTAGTCAAGACTATTTTTTTTTTTGTTATGACTAATGATAAAAAATTAAAATGCAACAAAATATATTATATTATTTTAAATTATTTCTCTATTTTTCATACAATTTTAATGATATGATGAAAAAAAAGGTTAAAGAAAGCATTACTAAATGTAATAAAAATAAATCTTCTAGAAATAACAAAAATATTAATTGTCGGCCAAATATTATTAAGTGTAAAATTTAAGTAACGTTTAATCGTTATATATTATCAAGTATTTTAAAAATATTCAGTTCTATATGATTAAAATTGACACTTCAGTTCAATATGAGATAATTTAGTTCGATCCATCATCAGTACGGATATTTGGAAAATCTAAAAAACCGCACCAATTATATTTTCAGTTCTGAGTAAGTAAACAGTCAACAGATAATTTTTGGTTCATAATGATTTAATTCGGTTTCTAAAATTTTCTGATTCTCATAATCAGTCCTATTAGTACTCACATGATTTTTCTCAACATGATATGTATATGCACCCAATCATGTAATCAACAGGGCTAGGTGGATCGAATCTTACCATTGGACATGGCCAAAACTCGGGCCGAGTCACGACCCGGCCTGGCCCGCCGGGTCGCCGGGCTAAAAAACACTAACCCTGAATCGACACGGACCTATACTCGTGCCGGGTCTGTGTCCGGGCCGTGCCGGGTCCGTGCTTTTTTTAAAAAAAAGTATAAAAAAATAACACAAAAATTAAAAAGAAGGGTCATCGACCCAGGCCGAGTCAAGAAACGAATGACCCTTACACGGCCATTCTGAAATCCGGGCCGGTCCCAGACCCGTGGTCAACGGGTTTGACCGGGCCGGGTTCGTGCCAGGTCCGGGCCGGGTCATGGCCGGATCGGCGGGCCGGACGACCCTTTAGCCATGTCTACTTACCATACAGCAATTTCAGTATTTCCCAAAGTACTGCAAAATAAAATCGGAGAGAAATTAATTGATATAATAAACACAAATAAACAACCAAATGTGAAAGGTAGAAATAACATGAAAGAAAAATGAAAAAAAGGCAAAGGGGTCCATAGCTTAAAAGGCATATATTCTCCCGGCATAACCCCACATATGTTTCCCAATATGGAGTGAGAACACAACACATACACACAAACAACTCACCAATTTATAAGCACAATTTCAGTGCTGCCAAATTACTCATAGCCACAAGACATAGCACAAAACACAATTTTCTTATGTAGAAATGGCACTGGACAGTAATAAAGAAATGAGTTTGGTCTTATCAAGTGATGCAAAGCCCAGATTGAAATGGACTCAAGAATTGCACCAAAGATTTGTTGATGCCGTTATTCACCTTGGTGGCCCAGAAAGTGAGTTTCAAAAGCTTTTTATTTCAATCCACAAAATAATATTATGTGATTTTACTTAGAGTTGAAGTTAATTCCATTCTTGTAATGTATTCAGAGGCTACACCAAAATCTTTGATGAGAGTCATGGGCATTAGTGGGCTCACTTTGTACCACCTCAAGAGCCATTTACAGGCAAATATAAATATATTATGTTGTAATTGAATGAAAATTTAGTATTAACTTTCCCCTTAATATATATAACTCTGTATTTTATTCTCTTACAGAAATATAGACTGGGAAAAAGCCAACAGTCTCATATGTACCAACACCCTAAACAGCAAGGTAAAGTTAATAAACAGAGTATGTAATGTAACATCATAAAAGCATATTTTAAAAATAGGTGTAAGAACAAATTTTCTTTTTCCCAATGCAGATAATGCAGAAAATAAGACAACCCCATTGACAGACAAGACTCCAGTTGCAGCACAAGAGGACATAAATGAGTAATATTTTTTACTTCTCTTAAGCTTGTTAAATTAAATCAACAGTATGATCAAGAAAAGAAGGAAAAAATCACTTAATTATGCTTTTTTTTNAAGAAAAAAGACAATTTCAGAACTTCAAAAAACTACAAAATAACAAAAAAGGATTAACTGTAAAAAATAATGTATTCTCAGGTGCAAAAGCATCTGCAGCTAAGAATCGAAGCGCAAGGAAAGTATCTACAGTCTGTGTTGAAAAAGGCACAAGACACGCTTTCTAAATACGGTGCTTGCTCGATTGAGGTGGAACAAGTAAAAGCACAACTTTCCCAGTTAGCGTCGATGGTCGATTCAGGATGTCCAAATTCGTCATTTTCAGTGCTAACCGAAAGTGACAGCTCAATGTTGAAAAACCAAAGAAAAAACAAATTATCGTTAGGACATAATTACGGTTATTCGGTCGAGAGTTCTCTTACATCGTCCGACAGCTCAGAGAGAACGAAACAAATTCAGACAAATAATATTACTTATTCCGAGAAAAATCTGGTCGTGCTACCGCTTATGGAGATGCGTACAGCAAAACAAGAAACTAAAAGAAGGAAAAAATGTGATGAGTTGAAGGGTTTCGATTTGAATTGCAATGGAGTAGACAGTAGTTGAGATGTTCTTTTAGTGTGTAAAGCAGTTAGTATATTTATATTGATATAATAGGTTGGTATGCATAAGTATAAAAATATAGAAAGTGGTATTGGGAATTTATGTATATTGTTAATGTGTGGACCATATTGGACTTTCTTGTGTATGTCCTAATTAAAATTATTTTTTTGACGTAAGTATTTACATGAGGTCTCTAAAAGTATTTAAGAGATAATTTGAAAATTAAAAAATAATTATGAAGATGTTCTTTTAATAAAAAATATCAATTACAAAATTAAATATTTTAAGTCCTTTACAATATATATGATAAATATAATATTTATTGAGGTACGGGGATTAAAGAAAATTTGAATTATAAATTTTGACATTTGTCCACAAATTCTCAGTTCAGGTGGGTTCATCTCTTTCTGCAAAAAAAAAAATCTATATATGGTGGCCAATTTCATATTGGTCAAAGTTTAATATTGGTCAACTGGGATCTCTCTCTCCCTCTCTCTCTCTCTCTCTCTCTCTGTACAAGTGAAAAATCCCTCATCAGAAAATGGACAGCATACCAAGTATTCCTAAACCCTACAATCTTAGCATGTCTTATTATATACTAATATCACCTAATGGTAAATCTATTAATATCCAACTCTTCCTACAATGAGAGCATAGCCAAATATGTCTCATATATATATATATGACTTAATCTCCACAACAGATGGCGCGTTTTTTCTCCTGAATCTTTTGCCACAAACAGAGCATCTCTCTCGGGCCTTGGTAATGAGCCACCACATAACCATCCTTACAACCCTCATTCATAATCCTTTCGTCCTTCTCGTATTTCACTATTACTCCGCTTTTTTTCATTTCGTCAATCCAAATTCCCATCGAAACATCTTCCAGTTTAAATATCTGCCGGAAAAATAATAACTCAGTATGTGTATATTGGAGAGTTAACTGTAGAATACCAGCATCATTCCTATTTTACCTTTAATTGTCCTATTCGATGCTTTTTGGCCACTGTTCTTGCTATATCACTTGACACGACATAACCAGGACCATGCGCAAAGGGTGGATATTCATCATGTGGCCATTCCTTCAAAAATAAATAAATAAATTCCAATGTGAACTGAATTAGGAGGTGTTAATAATAATCACTGACTATTGAATTTTAGCAACATGAACAGACCAAGAATGAAAGACAGGTAAAGTCAAAACAGGTGAAATGTTCTAAACTTGCAAATTTTTTCTATTTTATAACTTGAAACTGAGAGATCTCTATCTTGGAGAATTTTGCGCAAAATTTAACAAAGATGAAGACTGCTTCAGTCTATATTATAAAACTGTAAAGATCATTTCCAACTTCCAAGAGATACCTCGGGACTAATATACCACTTGCTGTCGGGACTTCGATGAGGCTGTGAACCCGAATTTATTAGGCCATACAGCAAACCTCGGTTCGTATTAATCCTTTGTAAAGTATTCAATATTTCATCCACACGGACGAATGCATCATCATCCGTCTTCATGATATATTTAGCCGAGACAACCTCATTCTGTTGGAAGAGATTAAACAGCAATGAGTTACTCAAGAATATTCTTCACAAGCGACAAAATTTATAAGAGTTTCTTTTACTTTATTTTTATTTTTTATTTTTTACCCCAAAGACGCAGATGGCGATTGTTTTCCATGTAATGAGACTGTAGTAGTCAACAAAAGGCATAAGCTGGATGTCCTGGTATGTCCGAGCCTCGTTCCAAAGCTCCTCATTCACCATCTGGTTTTTATGCTACAAGATTTACATACAGATTGTGATTTCATTATGGTTGTTTTACATGATTGAACCCATTATAATGTTCAACAGTCTATTATTAGAGAGAAAAATCACAAAATCCTATCGTTGGGAAATAGTGTAAGTACAGAAAAGTTCGGGTACTGAATTACATACAGCTCCTCAAGTTAGTATTTATTTGTAAAATGTAAAGGGAATTTTTGTAAATTTTTCAAAATAATCGGGCCAGTTTGTAATGTGGCTACACCTTCATGAGCAACTTTCGTAAAAAACATCCTTCCAAGTATCATATTTCTCAGTCGGAATATCATCCACCAGAAATTGGCATACATTAAAAAGTTGAAGATAGATTGCAAAAACTACCCTTGAAGTTTATTCTAATTACGAAGCATTCCCATTCTTCTAGAAAGTGCAAATATACAACAGCAGTTTGTTCTGCCTGGTAAAATGCACCCTCATGAAAGCATACTTGCAAGGCATTGCAAACCTCATCACAAATTTTGCAATTTTAAGAGGATATAACAGTTCTTTTGCAATTAGACCAACCCTCGTGGTAAACATGTAATTATCACACCTCAGAAATCTCCAACGGCCTTTTTTTTCTATTGCATGATAACATGAGAAGTGTAAGTGCAAATCATCACCCCTTGACAAGAAATTGTATCGAGGAAAAAAAAATTGTATATTTACTTGAATACTTACCAAACCAACAAAAAAACGAACTGCAACCTGCCCCGACCGCACTTGAGGATACTGCATCCACGATCTTCGAACTGCCATTCTACGCTTGAAATTGTTGGCGGTGGAAAAAATTCCAATAAAAAGATTCATTACTTTTTTAGGAGGTATTGGGACAGATTTAAGAGAGTCCAAGTCGATTATGTGTTCCGAATCCTCCGACGTCGGTAATCCACTGGCCACAACGGAGATTAAATTTATATCCCCCGAAATTCGTACTTCGCTAACAAGCCACGGTTCCAGAGTCTGCACACATAAAATACAAAAATCAATTTTTCAGTTTCATCAATAAAATCAAATCCAAAAAAAAAAAGTATCCAAAAGTTCTATTTGAGAAGCTCGAGAAGGGATGAGAGAGAGAGATTTATTACTTCACGGAAAGCGAACGAAGTTATGTGCTTTCCATCCACAGTCATTTGGATCCCTTCCGAGCCTACTCTGAGTGTAGCAACAAATAAGTCGTTTTGCTTGAACGGAAAATACTTTCTTGGTTTTCCATTACCAAGTTGGTTAGGTTTGACAGTCTGGTTAGTCTCTTTACCCAAAAACCCATTGCACTGATCCAGCTCATCAACTAATATCAGCAAAGTAGCATCGGCCAATATATGCAAAACAAAACACAGAAAATTTGATGCACAGAAAGTAAATATCGAATATCAATGAAGCAAGAATAGAATGTAGAAGACTATCAGCAGCTTACAGAACAAAAAGTTACTAAATATACATATAAACATACAACAGCAGAGCATATCTAGATCGTTCAACATGAAAAAAGGGGAGAAAAAAAAAAACAAAAGGAAAAATGTAAAGTGCGTTTACCTTTTTTAATTTTCTCCGGTTCAAGAGAAGGGCAGCGCTCCTCCGCACCCCAGTCATGTCCAATTGCCCATGTATTTTGAACAATCACTGGATCTTCAGTCACTTTATCCCCATGCAATCTAACATTATAGTGCAATATAATAGGAGGATCGGGCTCCCCTGGAAGAAGTTCGCCAGTCAGGTCTATTCGGAAATTACCAAGAAGACCATTAGGAATTCCAATCAACGTGATTGAAGAACCCTGAGTCAACCCACAAGGAACCTGCAGCTTAAACCCATTATCATCAAGTTCTGAGGCATTCATTTTACTAAGAAAATGAGGACACTGTTTGTCTTTCCCTCTCTTTGACAGACTTCCATTAGTCTGAAGCTTTTCTTGCTCGACTGAGGTAATCAACTTATTCCATCCAGCACCGGCTTCTTTAATAGCTTCAGCAGCATTAGGTAAGCCCTGGGCATTGCTGACCAAGTACTTCAAATGGTTCCATGTCTGCAAAGAACTTTTTTCCTCTTTTGATAGGTTCCTTTGAGCAAAAAGATGAGATACGATAGCATCAACTGAAATCACTTGAGATGCATTTTCTGGGTTTGGAAATGCAGGTGGGCCACCACCAGGGCCTATCCACTCAAGAGGATTTGTGCCATTCAAGTTCAGTGGGGTTGTGAAATAGCTTTGATCAATCGGGTTTGTAGTTACGTAATACCCGAAAATGAGAAACATCAAGACTGATGTGGCTAGAACACCAAAGTACCATTTCTTCATCTTCTGTTATTAACCGTGCATAGCAGCTCACACAGACCTATATGTCTTGACAGTATATCTGCAATTTCGAACAATAATAAAGTGACTGTTAAAATTAAAAGAGATTGAAATCTGAAGTTCTGGAGTGTATATGAGATTTACAGGTTGAGTTCAAAAATAAGAATGCAATCACATAGTAAAACCCATAAATTTACAAATGTCATTAATGGGAAGAGCATATGAATCATAACCCCCCATTCATTGTATTTATTTTTTCATCAACATGTTTCATTACTCTCCACTCTCCAGAGTTTCCCACTAACAACAAAAAGGGGAAAGGTTAAATTTCGATAACACCGAGCCCGTCAGATTCGAGGCCTCTGAACTACAATAACACACCCAAAACTAAAAGTGCAGATTCAGTAAAAGTCAAGAACTCAAGATGACAATAAAAAATTTCGCAATGGACTTCTCCCTACATCAAGAATCATTATATAATCAGGGGTGACCAAAATAAACAAAAACTAGGAAAATCCCATTTTATCAACTTGTTCAGTATCTTAAGAAATTATTAGTTGGCTTAAAGTGTCAGTGAGTGTAACCTCAAACTCCAACCGGCCATAGCAGATCTCAGTCACAGGCGAATCTAAATTCACAAAAAGAACACCAAAAAAAATGAATTTTAGAAAATTGACTGAAGAAGAAAGAACCCATTTTAAAATCTCAAGCAAACAAGCATCCCTCAAAACAATACAAAGAACAACACTCATCAAATAATCTAAATCTACCAAAACTTTCTATATCAAACGAAGAACGATATCATAATCAAAATTTCCCATGTCACACTCAAACTCCGACCTGGGAACACATAATTTCCTTTCCACATCACCTCACTTGACAATTGCACCACCTACCTCAAAAAATTGGAAGTATAAAACAAAAGGGCGCGTAGACCTCTGCATATCCACACCTCTACATCAACAGAAACACACTCTGCAGACCCGACCAGAACCAAAACAGCTACACAGATCGGAACGCATTCAACTGAATACAAACCAGTCAACAAAGAAATTGACAAGTATTAATCATCACAATCAGCTAAAATGGCAGCATTAATGCACACACATAAACGTACATCTGAGGCATACTGCAAATGGAAGCGCTGATTCTTGAGCAAGAGAGCAGCATAACAAAAATGACTTTTCGGAGCCAGACGTTTGGACTTGAACTCGACTTCAAGTCTACGCCAAAAANTGATTAATTTATAATAACGTATTATTGAGAAAAATAGATTTTATTTAAATTGGTAAACATTTTCTAGAACTAACAGTTGCTGGCCACCTGGCTACTTTTCACGTATTAAACAGGAAAAAAAGAAACAAAAAAAAAAAATGGAGAATTTTGGTTCTGTATTGTATTACGACTTTACGAGTCTACGACTAAGTAAAGAAAAGTAGTGAGTCGTAGAAAGAGAAGCGCGTGACATATTACATGGGTCTTGTTTATTATTGAATTTCGTTGGTCTATCTCTAGACTCTAAGGTGCTGTTTATTTTATCTTGTCTCTTATGTTTTTCAAAAGGGAGTAATAATTTCTTTTAGAAAAAACACATGTAAGGATTAAATGAATCTCCCCTTTTTCTATTCAAACATAACTTTATGTAGCCTCTAATTATAGATTGGATATCATAACTAGTATAGTGTTAAGCAGTGTTTTAAAATGCGTATAGCGTAATGAGCCGCATTTTAGTCTTAATATTGTATAGCGAAAATAGCGTTGCGTGTTGCGTAAGTTAATTAAGTTTAAAAAATATTTTTATAGAAGAAATATTATAAATATATTTATATATAATAGAACTCGATGGTTAATTCTAAAAATCATCGTAATATTTGAATGAACACAAAAATAATATTTAAGAATTATTTCTCTAAATGTTTAATGTAAATATCATAATATAAATATTTAAAAAATAAAATGAACATAGTAAAAAGTAAAAAAAAAACAAAAATCTATATATATTGAAAGAAGTTGTTGAAATTATCTAAAATATTAATCTTTACTTTGTAATTGAATTTGTTGACTTACTATTAAAAGAAAAATATAGTAAAATTACTTTAGGCGCATGATAGCTCGAAAAGCTTCGAGATTCTGGGTCCTACTTTCAAGGCCTCAGATCATCCAGAGCATATTCATGTCGGCGCTAATCTCAACGTCATCGACAAAGTCGATTGAGTCCCGAAACTTTTCAAGGGTCATTCCCTTTAGCTCCACCATGGCAAGTTCAGCACGAGCGGCCCGAAGCTGGGCAGCCGTCTTTTCCGCCTCGACCTCTTTGCCGGCCTTCCGGACATTCTCCTCCAGAGCCTCTTTGTCGCCTCTAAAGGCATCGGTCTAGCAATGATGTTTGTCCAGCGCTTCATCAAATCGGCGCAAGAGGTTCTCGTGGTTGAGTCTCACCTTGCCAACTTGAGTTTCGAGCCTCAACTTGTCGCAGCGAGCCGTTCCCAGCTCCTCCTGCAGGCCCACCTTCTCAGCCTGGGCTACCGCCAACTCAGCCTCCAGCTCAGATACTCTTTTCACCGAGGTCTGGGCCACCTCGGCATCAACTTCAAGAAAGGCGAGCTTCCTTTCGCATAAAGCATGTTCGGCTTGCAACTGGGAGTAACTCTCCTCCAGCTCCCGCACCTAGCCGATCAACATGCAGATGTTTGTCAAGGCGCGTCCAAGAGCGTCGGCTGTGAACCTGAGCCGCTCGGGTACAGAAAGGGTCAACATCCGTTACTCAACAGCCACATCCCAGCTCATTAGTGTGACCCGAGCAGCATCCATTGTATGCATCCATTGTGTAATTCAAGCGGATCCATACTCCTAAACTAGGAATACCACTCGGGTTCCACACCGGTCGTATCGGTCACCTCCTTCGCCTTCTCAAGGTTTAACGGCTCCATCTTGATGGTGTTAGTGTTATATACTGAAAGCTTGAGTTTGCATGTTATTACACATTTACCCTTTATGAATGAGAATCATGTTAGATTAAACAAGTTCTACGTTCTGTTGTTCTGCACTTAGATAGAGTGGGTCGTCATCGGGCGAACCGAAGATCACTCTATTAGTCACTTGCGAACAAGAATAGTTGTTCACAACCTAGATGGACATGAACACCCCATCCGAACGGTTGTAGTGTCAACTGTACAGTTTGTCTTGATTGATTAGTTGCACTAGTACATTTATGTATTGAACAGGATCCCAGAGAGGAGAAGTTCATTTTATACTGATCGTCGTAAATGAACTAGGCCTCGGTTAATTACTGCGTTCTCTTAACCCGTAAGATATTAAACAGACAGATATATATAATATATATTACTTTGATTCACATGGGTGAGGTTCAGTTCGCTGGATTAATATTCCTACTGTTTTGGGTGATATTATTATATATAGGATGTGCTGTTAGGATATTTACGGTCACCATGTACGTTAGTTTGATGATGTCCCCGGAGTGAGTTCATGAAGGATTGTTATGCTAAACCCTACAGGTGGATTAAGTTCCGGCATAATAAGAATGTGATGGACGAGCGCTAGCTTCGGTGAAATAATAATAAATTGATTAATTCTTGATTGTCAGTAATCGAATTAATTAATGGACATTATATCTTAAACGTGGGGAGGTAAATCGAGTAATTATTATTGGAGTCTCAAATGTAATTTGAGCTAGGAAAAGGGAGTGCAATAATATAATGTTGGTGGCCCATTAATATTATTTAATTAATTAGAGGAGTGGGCTTGGCCCACAGTTAGTCTAATTAATTAAGGAGTCCTTTTTCTAATCTCCTAAGGGTCCCTACTGTAGCTCTATATATACATCATTAAGCTCATGAGAAGAGAAGAGAAGTCTCATTCACACGAGATACACGCCTCACACGTCTCTCTCTCTCTAGATCTCATTCGAGCTTTATCTTCTTCTTGTTGCTCCACTGGTACAAGTAGAAGAAGGGTATATTGAGTAATACAGTAGAAGATCTGTAGGTAAACCGAGACGAAATATATTTTGACCTACAGAACTAACCGGAAGTCCGATTGAGACGTACAGCATACCCAGACGACCGTCTCAACGAGGGCTTTCCATCGCCGCCGAGATCGCAAAGGTCCGAAGCCTCACGCGCCCTCACGCGCCGCCAGAAGCTCCCAGGCTGCAAAATTTTGTTTTGATCTGTTTGCATCCGTTTGATCCGGTTTTGATCTGATCTTGTTCGTGCAAGCCAAGACGTGATTTGCGGTCAATCAATTGCGGTCAACCGTTCGTGGTCAACCAAACCTACATAAATTTTAAGCCGTAAGTTCTCTACGTCAAACCTTTAGATCAGCTGCGCGTAGGTTTACGTTTGCTATTGAATTTTTGACTTGTACATAACGAGATCCTCACAGATCCCAACAGATGGATGGGGACATCTTTTTGCCAGGCCAAGATCCCATTCGATCGCGATATTTTAGCCGGACCACCTTGGATCTTTTAGGCAGGGCCCGCTTCTTCGTCCTCTTCTTCTCCGGACTCGTCGCCTTCTTCGACGAGGAGATCTCCACCGTTTCGATCCGATCTGGCTGAGAGGCGATTGGAACGGTGGAGACTGTTTCAGGAGTCAATGATCCTCGACTGAATTGGCGGAAGTTGAGCGACGGTGACGGAGAGAGCCTGCTACGTGGACGCAGGGCCCGCACCCGAGCTCACCGTCTTTGTTGCCTTCTTTCATGAATGTAACCGGTGCGATCCATAGCCTTTTCTTTGTTTCTTTTGCTTGGGATGGCAGTGCTCATATTGTAAAGCTTCGTCAAGGGTGCATAAACCCCTGAAGCCAGTGAGAGGATAGTAGACTGTTCAAATATAAAAACAAGGATCAGAACCACACTCAGGAAAAAAGCCAACCTGAGATAAAAGAACGGTAAAGAAAAAAGTCATCGACCTGCTTGGTGACCGAATGCGTTTGGTGTCAAAAACAATTCACTAAATCGGAGAAGGCTGTTGGTGGCAAGTTTCTTTCAATGTGATATGACTTTCCAATCCTGAGCAGTAGTTGCAGCTTTTCAGAGAAGTCTTCACTAAGTGCTGGCACAGTCCGAGCGTCCTCTTTTCTTTACAAAGACGACAAGCCGACTTGTTTANNNNGTTAACAATATAGTTTTTAAGAATATCACCCATTTAATATAATAGAAAAGTTATGTAATTCCAAACTTTGCTAGAAATTAGAGTTTTAATTTTTTCAAGTTATGGAACATATTAATAGTTGACTCGAACTCGTACAAAATAAAAATAAAGAAAAAAAATCTCATCTTCAAATTTTTATAAGCATATATCATATATTTTCACCACATTAACTTGCATACCTCAAGCGATCTGTATATTAAATTTGCTCCTCGTAGCGTATTAAATTATATACAAACATATTTATAGGAGTCTTACAAGATCTAATTATTATTTATAATAATTAGTACATAGACTAGTACAAATGAGTTAGGATAGAGTTGTGCATATTCTTCTACTAATACTCTCTTTTAAATACCCTATTTTTAAGTAAGATTTTATTATTAAAGTCTCAATATATTTATTTAAAAATAGGATGAATATAAAATATCATTTTACATATATTTAATAGAAGAAAAACAAAAATGTTGGGGGTGATAATGGTCTCCCCCAACACAAACGTAGATTCGCCTCTGAGTATAAAAAAATAAACAGCTAATCAAAAGTGTAGGCGTAAACAAAAAACAACTTACTAGAACAGGTAATAAATGATATCGAAGTTGCCACTGCTCGTCCTCTCCTTGCCCGGATGACTGCCAGTCACCACCAATCCAAACCACTCGGGTTTGAACCCTTTTAGGATCTTACGGACCTCTTTGATCACTCGAGACTAGGTGTACTTATTTGTAGGCTACCGTTGTTTCAACGTGTAGGCCTCTCTCTAAAATCAACCTTATAGTTGCTTTGTCTGCTATTAGATATTTTTAGGATTGTAAATATATTGTTTCATATAAAAAAAAAAATAGTGGTATGCTATTGCGACCATTAGTTACTATTAGTATTTGATCATGTGCATTTGCACAGATATAAAACACGTTTTTGTTTGTATTTATTAATTAGACATGTACTTCTATCATATAAAAATTATTACTTTTTCTTAAGTTAATTTTATCATTCAAAATTAATTGAGATTTAAATTACCATGCAACGTTTACATTATGAACATGAATAAAATAATTTATATATTTGTGGCATATATTAAAAAAATTAACATAAATAAAAAAATTATTGGTGTTTCTGATTTTTAGAAAAAAAAAATATGTGGCAATCATATTTTTCTTCCAACAATGCAACCAAATATAGCGGTTACAGCTATGAA